AGTTTCAGACAATGAACCAGCTAATCCACTGCTCCATTTCCCTTCAGAAGACAACTGCAAAAATGAAGAAGCCCCAAATCCCAATCTCTCCAAAAATGTATACTGAGTTTTCTAGGTTTCCTTGTTTTGTGTACAAACATCAACATAGCCTTTGCTTTGTTGACAATCTCATTGCATTGTCCTTCTCTCCTCCCTTTTTTTGGACAACTATACTGAGATAATAATTATTGTGGGAATTTCTTCAAAACTTAGAACTTTATGTATCTTATAAGTAAATCCTATATCCTAGCCAATGTCAAATTTTTTTTTAGCTAAACAACACTGGGAATATGATGTCAGGTTGTTAAGAGCATCAATGAGTCTGGCTAAGAGAGGGAAGGAGAAAGAAAGGAATGATACACATAAAAATAAAATAATTTTTCCAAAGTTATGGGTCTGTAAAGGCAGTGCAGTGTTTTAGAATAACCTGAGAAATTTAAGTTATTATTACATTATCCATAATCCTCTAGATATTTCACCTTAGGTAGAGTTCAACCTTTCAGCATTGCAATGCATCCATCTTCAAGAGAAAAGTACTCAGTTTCTAATGTCTCATTGGAACTTTGAAATTGGTTCTTTTTAAGGAGAACTCAGAACTACATTTTTTATGTAGTGAACTATGCAAAAGAAATCACAGAATTGGCCTGAACTTGAAGTGACCATTATATTGCTTTTAAATTTCAAGGGATGAAGTTCTTATGGCAAAAGGGTAAAATTAGGTAAGCAAGATGTGTTAATCTGTTCTCACCCTGCTAATAAAGACATATCTGAGACTGGGTAATTTATAAAGGAAAGAGGTTTAATTTACTCACAGTTCAGCATATCTGGGGGAGGGGGGTGCAGGAAACTTACAGTCATGGTGGAAAGGAAAGCAAACATGTGATTCTTCACATGGCAGCAGCAAGAAGAAGTGCCAAGCAAGAAGGTGAAAGCCTCTTATAAAACCATCAGATCTTGTGATAACTCACTCACTATCATGAGAACAACATGAGTATAACTGCCCCCTTGATTAAATCTGGGTCCCTCCTATGACATGTGGGGATTATGGGAACTAAATTCAAGATGAGATTTGGGGGGGACACAACCAAACCATATCACAAGATAATTTGCTTCATTCAAATCTAAAATTTCATCTGGCATTTCTAGGGTCAGAAAGCACAAAGCCATAGAAAATAGAAAAGGCTCAGGTTTCTTCCTCTGTTTTCAGTCCAGGTCAAACACTGGTGCTTTGTATTATATTCAACTTCCGAAATGCACTCTTGAATTCTTGTAAAACCTACTTTTTTAGAGTTCATGGACTGATCTGGTTAATATTTCCTATAAAGAGGAGGTAAAGTCTTCTCAATGACACCTGAAGTGTAAAAAGTCCAGATATGCCAGGCAAGCACTTTGGATTATTTGCATTATAAACCAATTAGTTAAAATGGTAGCTCCTCTGGTACATTTAAGCATTTTACAAATCATTACCTGCTTTGAAGAGAGCTGGGAAACACACTAAAGTAGAAGCAGCCATTTTCAGGTAAAGATGCTGCTTTTCCACAAAAGAAAAATTGAGAGACTTTTAGTTTCCTCAGAGGGAGAATAAGTTCGTACTTACAGAAAGATCTCAGAAACAACATGCTATGAAAAGTGAGGCATAGAACCATGCAATTTCTTGCCTCCCTGCTGTAGGCCAAACCTTAGACCAGACACGTTATGTATTATTTCATTTAATCCTGCAAAAATCCATGAAATGTGATATTATCCCCATTTTCTAAATAAAGAAAATTAGCTTCAGACAGTTGTAAGGCAGTTTAGAGCTGGCATTTGAGTTCAGGCCTCAACCTGTGCCCTTTTCATATTGGAAAACCCCAAAACAAAAACAGAGGAGTCCGTGATTTTGCCTGAAGTGATCACTTCACATTGGTGTACTTTCTTCCATTTCTTTGCTTTTTTCCCTTAAAAATGGGGTGATTTGAGAGTCCTCAGTAGGGTAGCATACAAGAGAGAAGTCAGTGTCACTCCCCTACTCTAAGCAAAAGGGTCATCTAGCTGCCCTATCATTTTAATCTATAGAATTCTACTTTGTATCATACAGAATTCTGAGTTATTGTGCTTAGGAGTCAATGGGGATGACAGAAAGTGAGCTTAAAAGCAAACATGTCCAAGCACCTTTGATTTAGTAATGTTATGAGCTATAAGAAGATGTGGGTGTATAGATGAATGTCAGTTTTTAGTGCACATCTAGACGAAGGCACACAGTTGGTGCACTGGATTGATATGGCCTTTGAGAATGGGCACTTTGCTTTTCCCTTTTTAGGCACTACAGTCTGGAAGTCTGTTTGTTGCCACACAGGGCTAGAGAGTGACAGCTTGATTTTGGGAATTAGATTCTATGCTGCCAGGAAAGCAGAGATTGTGAGAAACTGGATACTGTTTGTTACTTGGTACAGAATTCGAGGTGATTTTTACATGCAAGCCATAGACACCATGAGACAACTTGCTGAAAAAAAGAGGAAGGAACCAAGATTTGGAATAGAAAGGTCTGGACTCAGGTCTCAGTTTTATTCCTACTACCACTTCAGACTGGCTTGAGCAATTCTTAGCCTTGCTGATGGTCAGTTTTCTCATCTGCAAAACAGAAATAATTATAATACCAACGTTGGAGAATTGTAAGCCTAAAATAAGATAACATAACAATTTATTTACAGACTGCTAAGTAGTCATATGAAAAGTAGTTGTTAATATTATTTTAATTCACTGGAGATGGTTAATAGCAGCTGTCTTCCTAATTGTCCTCACTTGGTGGCCAGAGGTCTCTGGTCTTGATGGCTCTTTTATAATTTGTGTTCTTATTTACCAACAAATTATACATTTTTTAACCAAATTTTTCATTGAAACTGTGTTCTTTGGAAGTCTCAGTTCAGGCTGGTCATAAAAATGGCAGTCCAATCAAATTATATTTTTTAGCAAAATGTAGAATAAAGTGGAAGGTAAGAGGGGAATCTAAATGAGGCAAGCAAGAGTGTGGTGGGGGCTGTTAAGTTCCTGCTCTAATAGTTATCAATTATGTCTTTGTTTCCATGCCAATTAAATAGGAGAATAATTAACTGTAACAATTCCATCGCATTTTTGACGTTAAATGAAATAATACATATGTGGCATTATGTGCTTAGAACAAGTAAGTACGAAATAAATATTAATTATTATAATTAGAAATGGAAAGTTATCGTTTAAAAAACCCTTTGAGGAAGTCAGAAGCAAGGCTATGTAATGCTGAACTATGTCAAGGTTTGTTCAAGAGAGTTGGTTGCCTACTCCATACCTAGACATGTGTACCAGTTCAGTGGCTTAGGCATTGAAAATGTAGCTATCTTCCACCATTCTTAGGCTCATCATTCTTAACTCCATACAATTTGATTTGAATTAATTTAGTCATCTTTTTTTTTTTTTAATCCATAGGGTAGCAGCCAATTTCACTGGCTTTTAAAATCAATTAATTAATGAATGTTCCAATTTCTATTAAGGTTATTTCCCACTTTTGTAGGCGTCTTTCTCCTCTCCTCTCCTCTCACTCTCCCTGTCTCTCTCTCTCTCTCCCTCTCTCTCTCTCTCACACACACACACACACACATACACACATGCATGTATGCACACACACAGAATCTGTGCCAAGCCTGGCTGAAGCACAGACATGCATCATATGCATTTCCTACCCACAATCCAAGAGAAGTGGTAAGGTGCATGGGCAAAGAGTAAAATGTGGTAGGAATCTCGAGTACCCTGACGATTTAGAAGAGATCACCCAGAGGAATTAGGGAGGTTCTCAGGACATGGACTCTGAGCTGGATTCTGAAGGATGGTAGAATCCAGCCATGTAAAGACTTAAGGAGAAGAGAGAAGAATGTGTACTACAGGCTAAGGAAGGAGAAGGAGCAAAGGCATAGAGATTGGCTTCTCTTGAGGAGGACCAATATAACAGATTAGCTACAATGATTGTATCTTCCCATTTGTGCCTTTTGCAGAGTCAACTAAGCCACTCTTCGCAGCAAAAATGGGTGTGGTGGTGGAGACAATTCCCAGCTCTGACCTACATTTCCCAAGCATCAAATTGTTCCGCGGTTTAACTTCTTTTACTATACCTCTTAAATCCTGAGGTTTATTAGTCATCTGAGCGGGTTTTATGCTTAGTATTTACTCATTCAGATAATAGCCACTGTCATTATCAAATCAGTCTCTAAGGGACCATTGTGGTATCTGTTTCTCCATCCTGTGCTTCTCCCTCTAATTTTACTCTGTGATGAAGTAATCAGTAAACTGCAAAGGGAAGTAATTTTAATTCGGGTCATGCAGTAAGGTACCTTCTTCAACCCCACCTGTGCTAACATCTTGGCAATTACCTCGGGCAGGTTTAGTCCATGGATTCAGTCTTTTTCATCCACTCTTCAGAGCAGGTCTCAGTGCTCCACATGCATGAGGAGATAAGGAACAATAAAACCTAGTCCCTACATTCTAGGTAGTCTAGAAGAACTAGGAGAATACAGGCAAAAAGTGAGGAACAGTTAATATTTTTTGGAGTTAACAAAGTGACAGTTTTTCTTCCCTCTGGTGGAAGGGTGTTAATGAGGCTGTTCTGGAAAAGACTGAATTTTAGTTAAGCCTCGAAGGATGGGGATGATCATCAGGCCATGGGCTAAAAGGTGATGCAGTGAACTAGTCTTACCTGGGGATGTGCCTCCTGACTCTCAAGCTTTGTTATGTGTCAGTGCTTCATATTCATATCAGGTTGCTCAATCAATGATGACAGGTCTTTTTCCCTCACGGTTCTATGTCCATCATCTTTCAGGGACAAACCATTCTGCCAAGAATGTTCAGTAACTCCAAACGCTTACAGAATTATATTAAAATGATGTTTTTCAGGATGAATTTTAGCCTGATGACCTCTCTTAACTTCATGGGGGTTTTGATGTCTATTTCCTCAGGATGAATTTCAAATTTACTCCTGGAAAAAGGTAATGTGGATCTACCTGTCAGCATTAAACAGCGCATTTGGTCTCACTCCTGACCACCCTCTCATTACAGATGAGGAGTGTATCATAAATAGAGCTATAAGAAAGCCAGACCTAAAGGTAAGTAAACTTATGGCTACTGCTGATGCCTGAGAGATTTAATCTTTTTTCCCCTCAAGTATAAAGGTAAATGTAGCTCCTCCATGGTGCCAATCCTCATTTGATAGTGTATATTTCAAACTTGAACTTCGGAGCCAGATAGAGCTGAGTTCAAATCACAGCTTCATCCTTCTAAATAGTGAAACCATTGATCTTAACTCTGCTGAGCCTGTTTTCTCATCTACAAAAATGATAATAATAATGTCTACTTTTAGTATTATTTGATAAAATTCAATAAATTTACAAATACAAAAATTAATGTAGTTCCAGGTATACAGTAGATGCTCAATACATACTTGCTCTATTTCCTTTTGCTTTTTTTAGAGTAGGAACTCACTATGTTGCCCAGGCTGGAGTGCAGTGGCTATTCACAGGCACATGATTATGATACACTGCAGCCTCAAACTCCTGGGTTCAAGTGATCCTCCTGCCTCATCCTCCCTAGTAGCTGGGATTACAGGCATGTACCACCCAGCCCAGCTCTTACATATTAGCTCTTAATAGTATCATGCCCTATCTTACAATCTGTGTAATAGGGTTAATTTTATAGTAAAGATAATCACCCAGGAATATCCCAGGAGGTTTGCTTATGTCTGCAAAAATGACCTTATTTGAATTCTTGTCATTCAAATGTATTTAGGTTGCTCCCTCTTCACCCTATTAAATTAGTTCTGCTTGGATTATGACTAGCTAACACTCATATTGAAAACATTTTATAAGACAGAATATTTTCTCTTACATTTATGTGAGTGTAGTCAGCCGTTTAAATTAGTTTTATGAGATCAAGGTCAGTTATTTAAAATAATATAAGTAAATGATGAGCAATTTTCCTATTGTCATTGTTGATTGTTATCACCCAGTTGTCTTCTTTTTTTTTTTTTTTTTTTTTGGAAAGTTTCACTCTTATTGCCCAGGCTGGGGAACTGTCTCTGCTCATTGCAACCTTCACTTCCCAGGTTCAAGCAATTCTTCTGCCTCAGCTTCCCAAGTAGCTGGGATTACAGGCAGCTGACACCATGCCTGGCTAATTTTTTTGTTTTTAGTGGAGATGGGGTTTCACCATGTTGGCCAGGCTGATCTCAAACTCCTGACCTCAGGTGATCCTCCAGCCTTGGCCTCCCAAAGTGCTGGGATTATAGGCATGAGCCACTGCACCCCACCCACCCAGTTGTCTTAACTGCCCAAATAAGCAAAAACAAAGGAGGTCAAGTACCTCCACATAATAGTTTGCCTAATCTGTTAGGTGTCCATTCACCTGGAGAAGTAAGCTTCCCAGATCAGCCTATGTTCTCAGAGTTTTATTGCCCTGAAATTCTAGCGTCTTTAGTAGCATCAAATAAATAAGTGGACAGATAAATGAAGAAATGGCCAAGTCAACACACAGAATTGCAGGAGGGGTAGGGGCCTTGAAATGGAAAGGAGTGATATCCAGGTGTAGTATCTTCATTTACCAGCTATGGCATAGGCAGTTTGGTTAGTTACTGCCTCTCTGGTCTTGAGTCCCTTATTTACAAAATAAAAGTAATAACTCTTCTTTGCCTTTCTCAAGGCTGCTATGCACATACAATGAGAAGATGGATATTAAGGTGATTGCAATGAGCTATGCTAGTAATATGGGACAAAACTTTCATTAAAGTCAGAGGAGTGGTCATGGGCTCAGCCTTGACGACAATAACAAGATTACCAAGATGATAACCATTTAGGGCCATTTAAAGGAGGGGTCCCCAACCCCTGGGCCACCAATTGGTACCCTGTCCATGGCCTGTTAGGAACCAGGCCACACAGCAGGAGGTAAGCTTCGGACAAGCTGGAGCATTACCGCCTGAGTTCTGCCTCCTGTCAGGTCAGCAGCAGCATTAGATTCTCATAGGAGTGAAATCCCTAATGTTGTGAACTGTGCATGTGAGGAATCTAGGTTAGAGCTCTCCTTATGAGAATCTAACTAATGCCTGATGGTCTGAAACCATCACTCCATCCCCAACATTCGTGGAAAAATTGTCTTCCACAAAACTGGTCTCTGGTGCCAAAAAGGTTGGAGATCGCTGGTTTAAAGGAAGTCTGAAGACTACAGCAAAGAACCATGTCAGGTTTGGGAACATAGGCTAAGAGGAGATGCTAAGGACCATCTTATAGAATTGCGTGCAGAGCTAACACCCAGTGCTTAACCTGTTGAACAGGATGCTCTTATAACATGTTCTAACAAGAAATTACAAGCAGAAAGCCCAGGGAGAGGAAATCTTCCTGATTCATGGGCAGAAAGATGAAATTCACCCCACAGCAGATATTCAGTTTCCTAATTGCTGTTTCCTGGTCTGAATTTCCAGGAAATGGGCAAATAAACCTCATCTCTTGCAAATATTGTGCTTAACATCCTCTTACCAGTTTCCAGAGACTCTGAGAGTGATGGGGAAAGCAGAAAAACTCCTGGCAGAGATATTTTCTCCTGGGGGAATCTCAAATATGCTTAAAAGGTCCAGGATGAAGCCATTCTTCTCACTCTGTGAGAAGAATGGCTTAAGAGATTGTCAGAAGATAATGGAATTTTCTATTTTTTGGCCTGAGGTAAAACTTATCAGTAACCTCTTTATTTCTCATTATTGCTGCTTTCATCTACAGATGTTTCATGTCTATTATGTTTTATACATTTTTCAACCTTAGTCTGTGGTTTCTGCCTCTTGATAACAGATTCTCTAACCACAATATGTGCTTTAAAATTTTTCTAACACAGATTTTTGTATTTCTATAACTAATAAGTAGGCAATCATCACTTTCTAAAGCTTGAATCCTGAAGTCAAGGGATTTTCAAATTTTCTTTTGGGACTAGCTTGAATATGATATCCTTCAAGAGACTGAATTTTGGAGCCAGATGGGCTGGAGTTCAAATTCCTGGCAAGTTACTCAATCAAAATGAACTTCAGGTACAAAGTGAAGAGGAAAATAATATCCGCCCTATCACAGGATGATGGATGAAACATAATGTGTGAAAAGTCCTAACATGCTCAATAAATAGTAGCTGTGATTACAATCCTGCTCTGTTTGCAAAACTGCAGAGAATACTGAAGAGAAAAGTAAATTGTGAATCAAGATGCTTGAGATTCCAACATGTGTCATAATGGCTAACACACCCTAGAGCCTGTCACTTAAAAATATTTCCTTTGGGTTCTCATTGTACAACACCCGCCTATGAGTGAGAACATGTGGTGTTTGATCTTCTGCTCTTGTGTCAGTTTGCTGAGAATGATGGTTTCCAGGTTCATCCATGTCCTTACAAAGGACACGAACTCATTGTTTTTGATGGCTGCATAATATTCCATGGTGTATATGTGCCACATTTTCCCTGTCCAGTCTATCATCGATGGGCATTTGGGTGGGTTTCAGGTCTTTGCTATTGTAAACAGTGCTGCAATGAACATTCGTGTGCACGTGTCCTTATAGTAGAACGATTTATAATCCTTTGGATATATACCCAATAATGGGATTGCTGGGTCAAATGGAATTTCTATTTCTAGGTCCTTGAAGAATCGCCGAGGGGAGCACTACACACTGGGGTCTGTTGGGGGGAAATAGGGGAGGGACAGTGGGGGGTGGGTAGTTGGGGAGAGATAGCACGGGGAGAAATGCCAAATATGGGTGATGGGGAGGAAGGCAGCAAATCATGCTGCCACGTGTGTACCTATGCAACAATCTTGCATGTCCTTCACATGTACCCCAAAACCTAAAATGCAGTAAAATAAATTTAAAAAAATATTTCCTTTGCAAATTGTGAAATCTGCAAATTAGTGAGAGATTTTATGTCATTCTCATGGCCAATTTCACTCTCAATTGGAAATAAGATATACTTTTAAAAGCATTATGTTTCAACCAACCTTACTGAGATAAATCCATTCTGTAAAATAAAAGACAGCATTTTACACCCTACTTGGTAACTTTGAATGTCTGTCTGTCTCTGTGTGTGTGTGTGTGTGTGCACATCAGTACATGTACATACACCTATTGCTTAGGGTTAGCATTCATTTTTAGTAGCCTAGATCTTGGAGCTTAGGGATTTAAACTGCGTTTAATTGATAGATAATAACTTGTTACTGACATTTTGTTAATTATTTTTTAGTTGTTTTGTAGATCCTTTCTTCCTCTCTTCCTCCTATCTAACTATAACTTTGTATCATCAACCAACTTTCCCCATCCCATTATCCCCATCCCATTCCTTCCTTTGTATTTAAGTGATTTATTCTAGTAGTATGTTTTGATTCCTTGCTTTTTATTTTTAGTATCAGTGTCTCTTCTATAGGTTACTCTGCAAATCTATTGTCTGTGAGATAACATCCCAAATGCCTCATTCTAGCTTTTGAGGCTGCTCATACTGAAGCAGCTACGTTGTCTGGGGTAAATACCCCGGGTTCATCGTCTTGTGCCAAGAAAATTTAGGACACGGACACACATGAGGAGTTTAGGAACAGAGGTTTAATGGGCAAAAGAGAAAGAAAGAAAAAAAGAAAAAGGAAAGCAGCTCTCTCTCTAATGAGAGAGAGGACTTCTGTTAGGAAAGACCTGCCATCAGGGATGTGCCAAATTATATAGTCCAGCTTGAGGAAGAGATGTCTGATTTACATAGGGCTCATAGGTTGGTTCCATCAGGTATGACATTTACATAGCACGTGGGGATGCTGGCTGCCTCACCCTTATCTTATTATGCAAATGAACTTTCCCTTTGGCTGCTGCCATCCTGTCTATTCCTTACTGTAGATGTGGCTAGCAGAGAAGGGAATCTGGAGTCGCCCTTTTGAACATGATTTTGAGCATCTATGTCTGAAGCTCAATTTTAGAGGCTGCTCTTTGTTAGAAAGGAAAATGATTAGGGGCTGCTTTTCATTAAAGGGAAAACCTTACTGAGGACCTCTTTACCCTCATTATCTGCCTAAGTAATTTCTTCTTAACTCCTCTATCAATACTTTGGTTTCGTTTTATCTTTCTAGCTTCATTCTTCATTCTACAAATGGGCATGCTCACTTGCCTTCTTCCCCCAAACTAACTTGAGAACAATCTCTTTAAAATAGTTTCTTTTTTTTCTCATTTGAGTAAAAGTCTCTCAATCCTTCAACACTGTAGCTCATACATTATGTCCTTCCTGTTGCCTTCCATCATCTTAATCTCTCTTTGTGTCTACAGCGTTTCAAGACGGTATTTTTTATTTTATTACATTTTTATTTTTTTTGACATGTACATATTGGACTGTATGTCTTTTTTCTTGGAATTTTCTTCCTTCTTAGTTTATAAAGTAGTAGAATGCAGAGACTAAGTTTTATTCATGTATTTTTTTTTTCTGTATAGTAGGTCCATGATACATGTTGATTGAATGATGACTTCTAATAAAGAATGCCATTTGTATGATAGAAAAGCAAAAGATAATTTAGAAAAGGATAAAATCTTAAATAAGTATGTTAGAGTTTTATCTTTGCTTTTTAAACAAATGCTTCTTTAGCCACTGAGTTGCTATTTATTCTCCGATCCTCAAACTAGAGGCTTTCTTAGTACTTTTCTTTTGCAGGTGAGATGCATAAAAGTGCAGAAAATAAGATATGTTTGGAACTACTTAGAAGGACAGTTCCAGAAAATTGGGTAAGTTGTTTTAGCAAGTACAAAGAAGAAAAATGTTATCTCAAAAGTATTATTGCTAAATGTGTTCTTTTCATTATTATTGTTTTAGCTCTTTGGAAGACTGGCTCAGTTCTGCCAAGATACATCAAAAATTTGGAACAGGCTTAACAAGAGAAGAACAAGATATTAGGTACCATGCATATTATTGCCTATAGTAGTTCAAAAGGATTATTATCAGTTAGCCAAATAGATCAGTAAATAGTTATGTTAATGGATTAATATCAGAAAATATTGTAATGTCACCGGGCTGGAGTGCAGTGGCGCTATCTGGGCTCACTGCAACCTCTGCCTTCTGGGTTCAAGGTTCAAGCAATTCTCTTGCCTCAGCCTCCTGAGTAACTGGGATTATAGGCATGTGCCACCATGCCCAGCTTTTTTTTGTTCCTGTATTTTTAGTAGAGACAGGGTTTCACCATGTTGGCCAAGATGATCTTGATCTCCTGACCTCGTGATCTGCCCACCTTGGCCTCCCAAAGTGCTGGAATTACAGGCATGAGCTACTGTGCCCAGCCAAGAAGGACTCTTTAAAGGCCTTGCTGTTCTGTTTCTATGATTCACGTGCTTCCTCCTTCCCCATTTCTAGTACTTTGAAGAGCTGTAGACCCTAGCAGAATCAGTATCACCTGAAAGCTTGTTAGAACTGCAGTATCTCAGACCACTTTTCATCTCATTGAATCTGAATCTTCATTTTAGCAATATCACCAAGTGAGCTATATAAGTTTGAGAAGCACTGCTCATGTATTTGACCAAGCGATTTAATCTGAGCATCGAGGTAGAAGACGCAGAAAAAGCAGTTAATGTTTTCAACAGTAACATAACTCATAAAATGCCTGTTCTCTGCATAATCAGGGAAACACATCTCTGGGTTTTAGAGACACTGAATTAAAAAGCTGAATAATTATGTGTGTAGAACTATTTTTGACATCACAGAACCTTTTCACTCACATTAAAATACATTCTGAAACTTCCCAGAACTTCTAAATAGGGGTAGGAAAGCAGGAAAAGCATTTCTTTATAAATGAAGGTATTTTCTCTTAACTACCCCGCTGTATAGTAATAAAACTGGAATTGAGGAGAGGCAGAGTTGGGAATATGCCAACTTTGAAACTACTTGAATAAGACAATATGTAATATTAAATACCCAAATTACTATTTAGAAAAATATTTAGAACTTGGGAAGAGTATAGTTCTAGAAGCAATATGGTCATGTTTATTGTTTTTTCACCTGGGAACCCTTCCCTCCCATTATTTTGAGAAGGATGGGAATGGTATGTAACAAGGAGGCTTATGTTGGTCCCACAAGTGAGAAAGTGACCATGGAATAGACCTTTTTCTGAATAGATGAGGAGTGAGTTTAATTTTTATTATTTGTGACTGATTGATCTGCAATTTATTACTACAGGAGGTTAATATGTGGGCCTAATACTATCGATGTTGAAGTCACACCAATTTGGAAACTGCTCATCAAGGAGGTAATTTCTCTAGTATTTTCTCTTGGTGTTGGATAGAAAATAATGAAGTTTGGCTCTAGCGAAACAGAAGTACTGCTTGTTAATAAGTAGTTATAATATAGAAGGTACTTTGAAAGTATGTCAAGTATATTTTCTTTATATCTCTTGCTTATTCTTTTTCTTCCAGTGGCTATTTTGCACATTGCCTTATGTAATATAGGGTGTGAAACTCATTGTACTTATTTACCATTTAATGACTGCATGAATGCAATGTTTTTTTTTTTTTCTTTTTTAATACTATGCTGCTTAGCTTGTTTTAACTTGGTGAAACTCAAATATATTTTTTTAAGCCAATCCTTTTGTTAGGTAGTAGATGCAATTTCCTTGGTGCCAAAAATTGTAGGAAGAAAAAAAATTTATTTATTCAGCCTTATTAGTACTGTTGATCTCAAGGTATAAGATGAAATTTTTCTCTTGGACTCTGTCACTGGGCTCCTCATTTTTTCATTATAGTGATTCTTATCAAACCATAGCCCTTTAGCTGTACTCTGGTTTCCCTGTGCTCTATCTCCACTCCTCCTTGCCTTAAAAAAAGCTTACTAAACTTAAGGTACTTTAAAAATATTTCCAGCAAGCTGTCAAGCATGAAAGAGAGCAAAACAAACCAATAGGGAACATTTCTGTGTTCTGCCTCTCTAACCAGCAGAAAGGATTACCATTCCTGTATTAGACAGAGAGAAACTAACTAGAGGGAATTTAAGTTAAGGCACAACATGTTTTTGACCAAAGCAGAATTCCAGCTGCTGAAGTTAACAGCCACACTCTCCCACAGTGTTCTAGATGCTCGATTATAGCTTACTGCTTTCAGCACAGCCCTCTACTTAGGAGAACATGCAGTCTTCAACTCACCCATTAATCTAAGGTTCTTTAAAGGCTTCAAACATGGCAGGTGTTGTATCATAGAGAACAAGAGATTAAAAAGTATTTTAACTTTGTAGACCTGAACTAATACTTCACCTTTCTGAAGGCCAGTAAGTGTAAGCAGGAGATGACAACATCTACTTTAAAAATAACTATTTTGATGGTCAACATGTCAATACATGAGACACTACTTTGTAAATTATAAAGTGCGACAATGATTAAAAGTAAGTGTTCTGGGGGGCCAGGTGTGGTGGCTCATGCCTGTAATCCCAGCACTTTGGGAGCCTGAGGTGGGCAGACCACAAAGTCAAGAGATTGAGACCATCCTGGCCAAAATGGTGAAACCCTGTCTCTACTAAGTGTACAAAAATTAGCTGGGCATGGTAGCATGCGCCTGTAGTTCCAGCTACTCGGAAGGCTGAGGCAAGAGAATGGCTTGAACCTGGGAGGCAAAGTTTGCAGTGAGCCAACATCATGCCACTGCACTCCAGCCTGGTGACAGATCGAGACTCCATCTTAAAAAAAAAAAAGTAAGTGCTCTGGTGTCATATTGACTGGGTTTAAGTCTTGGGTCTGTGGCAATCATAGTCACATGACTTTGGACATGTTTCTCAAGATCTAAGGTTGAGTTTCTTTATCATTACAATGGAGATAAGTAACAACTTCTGGTTAATAAATTAACTGTGGGAATTAAATGAGAAAATTCAAGTACAGTTGCTTAGAACAGTGTCTGGCACATGTCAATAGCTGAATAAATATAATAAGAATATTGTGTGGGATGATGTATGTCATGAAGATGATTATGAAAACAAGTAAATAAAGAGCTAAGTGTGAAGCCTAAAAATCTCTCTTGTCTTCCTGTTTTTATGTCTGTTAACAGGTTTTAAATCCATTTTATATATTTCAACTATTCAGTGTCTGTCTGTGGTTTAGTGAAGACTATAAGGAATATGCTTTTGCCATCATAATCATGTCCATCATTTCCATAGCTTTGACAGTATATGATCTCAGACAGGTGAGTTTTTCTATTAATTCTATGGTCTCAGCAAGGGAGGGATAGTGACTTTATTAAAAATTTGTGAGAAAGGAGAATCAGGAAATAGTCACTTTCTACTCCATAGTAATTGAGACCAAGTTCGTAAGTAACTAGTACAGTAACCAGTGTTCAACAATTTAGTCCGTTCCCTTTCCTCCCGTTCTAATCCTTAACCTTTCAAGTTGTTTTTCCTTCTCTCTTTAGTTTACTCCAGACTAATTAGCCAGAACAACATGCAAAGGTTTGTGAATTGTGAATATGTGAAAAAATGTATGTAGAGAATTCTGATGGGACTTGAAGGTGGTGGAAGAGAGATGGAAAGTGGAGGAGTTTGTTTAATGTGAACTCCTGTGCCATTTACGTTGGTGCTCATTCGTCAAGGCCCCAATTCAACTCCTGGATTCTTTATGCCTACACCAGGTTTCTAGATACTGTTGGAAAAAAATTACATAGGACAGATTGGTTGGTTGCACTATAAATCCTTGAATGCCAACCTCATCTGGACAGACCTTCTGTTCATCTCTATTCAAGGTGCTCTATCATTCTCTGAAATTAAGGTTTCAAACCATCTCTGTTTTTTGGTGTCTGAGATGCACATCTTCTCATATTCCACTTTTCCTTTAATTCAGCAGATATAACTTATTTCACAAAGAAGATAGAAGCCATAAGACAGGAAATTGCCCAACTACTCCCCACTTTCCAAGTGCCAAATGACTTATTTCTGCAGCCTCCTCCTGCCCTGACCTCCCATTCCAGTGGAGGAAGTGTCCTCTGCCTGTGCCTGAGAGGCCATCCTTTCCCACCTTCTTGGGGTGCTTATGTAGTCCATGAATGACTCCTGTCTTCCCTCTCAAGAGACTTCCCATCAGCATTTAACATTTTTAAGTTTCCCCAACTTAAAAACAAAACTCAAACAAACAAAATGATTTCTTCTCTTGACCATGCTTCTGGATCCAGCTACTATATCACTCTTTCTCCATTTACATTAACACTTCTAGAGTCTTTGTGTCTGTCACCCTTACTTACTCATCTTCCTCTTACTTTTCACTCATGCCGACATGCCTTCCTCCCTCGTGACTCCATTCGAATATATCTTGTTAAGGTTGCCACTATGATCCCAAAGCCCAAAGATCACTTTAAAATTTAAAAAGTCTTTTTAAAAATTAGCTGCTTTCTTTCCTTAATAGAAGGGGCAATATGTGGCTATGATAAAAATAAAACCCAAACAGAACAAAAGAGTGTGAATAAAAATTAAGGATCCCTCTTCTTGGGAAAGCTTCCCAGTGTTCAGATCCTCTTTCAAGATGCATCCATTAGGACCATAGTTTCTGTATACTTTTAGCAATATTAAATGCGTATGCATTAATTTGACAGAATGAATATATACCATGTACACTGTTCTGCCCTTGAATTTTTACCTATTCTATTCTAAATATCTTTCTGCATCTGCAACAAATACATTTTCTCTAGATGTACCATAATTTTTAGCCAGTCCAATGTTGATACATATTTGATTATTGCTAGTCTTTTGCTACTAAAACAATGCTGCAAGAGCATCCTTGCACATATATCGTTTCATACATCTACATATAGGTATACATATGCACACATATTACATATGTCTATAACAAGTACATATGCTTATAAATATCTGTATTGATATAGAGATAGAAAATTTCTGCATTTGAAATTAATTAGTCATAAGCTAGTACGCTATTTTAATGCAGGTTGTCAGAATGCCTCTTAAAAAAGTAATAATGGCCAGGTGTAGTGGCTCACACCTGTAATCCCAGGACTCTGGGAGGCCGAAGTGAAAGGATAGCTTGGACCCAGGAGTTCGAGACTAGTCTAAGCAACGTAGTGAGACCACATCTCTCTACGTGTAAAAAAGCAATACCAATTTACATTCCTTACAACAGTATATAAGTGTTTTTCTTATCTTTGCCAATATGAATGAAAATAGAATTCAATAATTTTAATTGCATGTTTTCCATTATGAGTTGAGCATTTCTTCACACTTTAAGCCATTTGTATTTCTTTTACTGTGAGCTCTTTGTGTCCTTTATTAATTTTTATTGGGCTCTTGGTGTTTTGCTTGCTAATGTTGTGGTCCCCCTGCAGTGGATATACATATATTTTTCCCAGTACAGATTTCGCTAAACCTCTCAGTTGGATTTGACAGTTAACTGCTCTATTCTTTCTGAAGTGCTGTTTTCCTTGGCATCAGTGACAACACACTCTCCGTCCTCTCCAGTTGCTCTTTTCCATTCTTTTTTGATAGCTTATCCTCCTCTATCTGGCTTTTAAAAAAATGAGTGTTTCAAAGTCAAAACAACGTGAAAATGCATGTAATGTAAAGGCTCCGTTTTTCTCTCCCACTCCACTTGGCCAACTGCTCTCATTAGTATCTTGTGTAATCTTCCAAAAAAGTTTTTGGGAAAACGAAGCGAATACAAGTATACAAATTTTCTTTTTTTCTTATGTAAGTGGTCGCATAGTTACATTATTTTCTAACTGTGTAAAAAATTACTATTGATATGTCTTGAGGATCTTTTCATGTAAGTACATAAAGGATTCTTCATCATTTTTATAGCAGTACATGCCATGACTTCTAAAGGCATATGCTAATTCAAATTTGTACATATATCTCAAATCCAGATATCTCTTTTCAGTTCCAGACTCATAGTGTCAAAAACCTGATATCCCCACTTTAATATCAAAAATTATCATAAATTCAGCACTTTGAACATAAAACTCAAGAACTCTTCTCCTCAAATCTGCAGTTAGGTTTATCTGATTTGGTAACAGATGCTATTGACCATTCTGTGGCACAAGCCAGAAATCTAGTTGCCTAGCTTGAAGCTTTCTTTCTTCGTCCCCTTCAATTACACAGAAGGTCCTTTGATTTTTCCCTCCTAAATATCCCTTGCATCATTCACTTTTCTCCACCCTACCACTATCATGGTTCACGTTACCATCATTTTCTACCTTGCAGTCACCTCCCATCTGGCCTCCATACATCATTCTTGCAGAACATGATGATTTACATGCTTTTATCACTAAAATGCTTCAAAATATTTCTATTGCTCTTACAATCAACTTCTAAATCTCTTGACAGACTTTAAAGCTTTACCTTGAGGTTCTCAAACATTTTAGTTTCTAGAACTCTTTAAACTCTTAGAAATCACTGAGGACCTCTAAGAGATTTTTATCTTGTAGGTTATACCTATTGATATTTAGTAAATTAAGAATTAAAACTCAGAATCATAAAATATTTATTAATTAATTTAAAATAATAGTAATATAACATTTATATATAAATATATAAAGACAACTATTTTCTGAAATAAAAATAATTTAACGAGAATGGCATTATTTTACATTTTTACAAATCTCTTTTATATCTGGTTTAATAGAAGACAATTTAATTTAATTTTTTTTTTTTTGTCTTATAAGCAACAAAATTTATTTCTTAAAGTTATGGAGACTGGAAAGTTCAAGGTCAAGACACCAGCAGATTCAGTGTCTGGAGAGGGCTCTCTTCTTGGTTCAGGGATGGCACCTTCTTATTGCATCCTCATATAGTGAGAGAGACAAGGAGTCCCTCTTGGCCTCTTTTATGAGGGCACTAAAATTATTCATGACCTAATCATCTTCCCAAGGCCCATCCCCCTAATATCATCAACTCAGGAGTTAGGATTTCGACGTATGAATTTTGGCTCACATTCAGACCACAGCAGTCTTTTTAAAAAATTGTATGTCTTATAAATTTGTTTAAGTTCTTTGTAGATTCTGGTTATTAGCCCTTTGTCATATGGGTAGATTGCAAAAATTTTTTCCCATTCTGTTGGTTTCTGGTTCACTCTAATGATAGTTTCTTTTGCTGTGCAGAAGCTCTTAAGTTTAATTAGATCCCATTCTCAGCAAGCTAACACAAGAACAAAAAACCAAACACCGCATGTTCTCACTCATAAGTGGGGTGTTGAACAGTGAGAACACGTGGACACAGGGAGGGAAACATCACACACTGGCGCCTGTCGGGGGGTAGGGGGATTACGGGAGGGTTAGCAGGAGGTGGTGGGATTGGGGAGGGATAACATTAGGAGAAATACCTAATGTAGATGACAGGGGATGGATGCAGGAAACCACCTTGGCATATGTATACCTGTGTAACAAACCTGCACTTTCTGCACATGTACCCTACAACTTAAAGTATAATAATAAAACAAGAAAAAAATTATATATCAATTGATTTTAATACTTTGATAATTGTATTTCTTTGTTATTTCTGACAATTGGATTTTCATAACTGCTTCTGCATTTAGTCTATTGTGATATTAAATACCACTCAGCCTCTGGGCATCTCCACTGTACAGTTGTATGAGAAGAAGATTCTAAAAGGCAGTTAACATCTTAGTGCTATTATGAAAAAAGTATGCTTTCTCAGCCCCTGTGGGACATTCCTGAAAACCTCCAGGAATCCTCAGGCCACTCTCTAAGGACTGCTGTTCCACCTGTATGTGTAACTGCTGCTTTTACTTGCTTTTCCTGCCTTAATTCACCCTCCATCACCCTCCTCCTGCCTTAATTCCATCTCCCTTGCTTTCTGCCCTCCAGATGCACTAGCCTTTTTGTTTCCTGAAACATACTCTTTTTTTCTAACCTCAGAACATTTCGACATGTCACCTGGAATTGTCCATTTTTTTAAATCTCTATGATTTGCCCCTACCCCTTGATTAAATCACTCTTACTCAGATCTTAGGTTCAATGTCTCTTCTTCAGGGGAGATTTCTCCTGATTGATTCCCTTTGCTATATATGATCCAAAAGTACTTTACTTTTTCTTCTTATTTCTGATTGTCATTATATATTTACATATGCAATTATTTGATTAAACCTATTTTTCTCGGCAGGTTTAAACTTCTTGGTATCTTAATATATCTTAACCATATCTCTTTTGTTCATTTTATTTAAATTTTGTTTAAATTTCTTGGTGTCTTAACATATCTTAACCGTATCTCTTTTGTTCATTTTATTTAAATTTTGTTTAAATTTCTTGGTGTCTTAACATATCTTAACCGTATCTCTTTTGTTCATTTTATTTAAATTTTGTTTAAATTTCTTGGTGTCTTAACATATCTTAACCGTATCTCTTTTGTTCATTTTATTTAAATTTTGTTTAAATTTCTTGGTGTCTTAACATATCTTAGCCGTATCTCTTTTGTTCATTGTATTCCTGAAATATTAAAATTTGATCAATAAATGTTTGTTGATAAATGCACACATGAATAAAAGAATTAGTTACTCAAAAGCAGAACACCCTGTCTTTTTGACATTGGCTTATTCTGTTAATAATTTTTAGAACATATTTGTCATATTTGCAAATAATTTGAAGCTAGGGAATTTAGAAAGTATCTTAAATGACAAAATCGGGATGAAAAAATGAACCCACTAAATGATTGGGACTTTCAACCCCCAGAATCAAGTAGGAGGTCTTTCACACAATGGTTTCGCAATAATGTGGAATCAAAGATAATTGTGTCTTTGTTTGTTTCTGTTATTGATTCAGTCTCAATATTCTGTATATTTCATGTATTAGAACAACAAATATCATGAGGAAGTAGCAGGAACCACCTAACTCCTTATAAAGTTATAGATTAGGAACTTTGATGTGAGATTGCTGAAAGCTGAAACAATGCTTAGTTCCTTGAGCTATTTAGGTATAAGCACATATCTTGAATAATACTTGTTTTTGATGTTACTTATCTAAAGAACTAAGCACAACTTTGTGGTTTTCAAAACTCTTCTGAGTGGAAAGAGCATGCTAGGAAATTCCTTTCTGCTGAAGAAAACATACTTATTGCTGGGTGAAGAGCACTGGGAGTTGGATGCTTTTTCAATTAAGTAATGAGCTACTCAGTCCTTTGCTTTTAGCCAGTACAATCCATTTAACTGGCAATAAGACGGTGCTCCATAAACCTATGCTCAAATAGATAAGACTTTTCCATTTTCCCTTCTTTTTCAGCAATCTGTAAAACTCCACCATCTAGTGGAGTCACATAATAGCATTACAGTCTCTGTATGTGGGAGAAAAGGTAAGTTCCATTATTTTAGATCTATGTGCTATTTATATGAAATCAGAAAAGAATTTAAATTTGTATTTCTGATTGCTCCTATTATTCCCATCTTCATATTCATTTTTCCTTAGGCATTTGCTCAAAGGGATGAGGAACTTAAATTTTTTTTTTTACCTTAAAAACTACTTTATTGGGGTAGAATTAACATTTGTTAAACTTAACATATTCATGGTGTACAATTTGATAAGTTTGGCATATGTTATACTCCCATGAAACTATCATAATCATCAAGATATTGACCATTAATCACTCCCAAAAGTTTCCTTGCACCTGTTTTTAGTTTTTTTCTCTTCCCTTTCCTTCCCTCCCTGCCATCCCTCAGGCAATCATTTATGAGCTTTCTGTCACTGTAGATTCATTTCCAGGCTCAATATTTTATGTAAATGGTATTTTACAGTACGCATTCTTTGGGTCTTTTATAACGTATTTTTGGTTAATTTTGGGGGGATCAAAGTTCATAGTTATTTTGGGATTTATCCATTTTATTAAGGGTATCAATCATATTCCTTTTATTTCTGAGGCTATCTCATTTTGTGGATATACTAGTTTGTTCATCTGTTCACCTGTTGATGCATATTTGGGTTTCAGTCTTTGGCTAGTCCAAGCAATGGTGCTGTGATCATTTAGGTACAAGCTGTATATAGACATACTGTTTCATTTCTTATGGGAAAATACCTAGTTATGGAACAGCTGGGGCATGTACTTGACAGATATGTAACATTTTAAGAAACTGTCAATCTTTTGTCCAAAGTGGTGGCACGTTTTGTGTCAGCAGTGTAAGAGAGTTCTAGGCTCTCCACACTCCTGACAATACTTGGTATGGTCAGTCATTTTAATTTTGGTCACTTTAGTGTATGGTAGTATCTCATCACTGTTTTAATTTGCATTTCCCTAATGACTAATGGCATTGAACATCTTTTCAAATGCTTATTTGCCACTCGTATGTCTTTTTTGATGAAGCATTTGTTCAAATCTATTGTTTATTAGATTATTTTTATTATTAAAATTGAGAGTTTATTCTATATTATGGTTACATGTCCTTTATCAGATAAATGATTTGGAAATATTTTCTCTCAGTCTATGACTGACTTTCCCACTCTCTTTACAGTGTTTTTCAAAGAGCAGATATTTTTACTTTTGTTAAAGTCCAGTTTATCAATGTTTTCTTTGGTGGATCATGCTTTTGATGTCTTTTTTAAGATATATTTGTCAAGGTCACCATGATTTTCTGTATTGTCTTTTAAAGTTTTAGGTTTTATGTGTAGCTCTATATTGCCTTTTGAATTTTTTTTTAATTTAGGCTCATTTTGCAAAAAAGATATCCAAATGTTCCAATACCATTTGTTGAAAAGACTATCTTTTCTCCACTGAATTGACTTTTCACCTTTTGTCAAAAATCAGTTGTTCACATATGTATGGATCTATTTCTTGATTCCCTATCCAATTTTATTGACCTATTTCCTTTTTAAATATGTAAATACCACACAATGTTGCTTTATAATAAGTCTTGAAATAGTGTAATGTTAGTACTCCAGCGTTGCCCTTCCTTTCTCCTTTCTTTCTTTTTTTTGAGACAGAGTCTGGCTCTGTCGCCCAGGCTGTAGTGCAGTGGCATGTTGTTGGCTCACTGCAATGTCTGCCTCCTGGGTTCAAGCGATTCTCTGGCCTCAGTCTCCTGCGTAGCTGGGATTACAGTCGCACACCACCATGCCCAGCTAATTTTTGTATTTTTAGTAGAGACAGGGTTTTACCATGTTGGTCAGGCTGGTCTCAAACTCCCAACCCAATGATCCACCCGCCTCAGCCTCCCAAAGTGCTGGGATTACAGGCGTGAGCCATTGTTCCTGGCCTGGTCTTCTTTTTCAGAGTTATTTTGACAGTATTGAGCCTTTTGGGTTTCTGTGTGACTTTTGAACTCAGTCTATCAATTTCTTTTAAAAATGCTGGGATTTCCTTAGAATTACAACTATGTATAGCAATATAGACTTAAATTTGTAAATCTTTAGAAGCTCATTTAAAAATCTCTTAAAATTTCTCATTCAATATTAATATGAAATGTACAATAACATAAACAATTTTCACAAATAAGATTCAAAGATACCAATGTTTTATGAGATATTTTCCATAACCTGGGGTTGCTTCCTTAGAGTATTCCTAGGATGCCTACTGATCTGTCTATTAAAGTCATACAGTGGAAACAAATGTCCATTTTCTTTGCCAAGAACGTACCATAGATGAATATTAAAAACAGTTCTGCAAGCCAAACTTCTCATCTGTGCACACTTAAAATGTAGCTCTTTCTTTAAAAATAATAATTTGTAATACATTCTGAAAAACACAAACATGCTGTACACCTGGCTGGGTTACCAGTGTTTAGCCCTAAGTGCAGTGATACCGGCTATGTAATTACTGAAACTGAAACTGATAAGTATATTCTAAGTTGTGGAAATACGTATGTGTTTTTGTATTAGTAACTCTTTTTGGCGTCTATTTCAGGCTTGTTTATAATGTACACATGTAGAATATGAAGTTCAAAATACATTCTAGTGATATAATCAAACAAAGGAAATAAAATATTTTTAAGGGAATATAATTTTTTTTCTGGTTAAACATGTATTTATTTATTTATTTAGGTATATGAATAATTTCTTTAGTGGTGATTTCTGAGATTTCGGTGTACCCATCACCTGAGCAGCGTGCACTATACTCAGTGTGTAGTCTTTTATCCTTCAATCTCCTCCCACCCTTTCCCCTGAATCCCCAAAGTGCATTGTATCATTCCTAGGCCTTTGTGTCCTCAGAGTTTAGTTCTCACTTATGAGTGAGAACATACAATGTTTGGTGTTCCATTCCTGAGTTATTTCACTTAGAATAATAGTCTCCAATTCCATCTAGGTTGCTGCAAATGCCATTATTTCATATTTTATGGCTGAATAGTATTCCATGTTACATATGTGCCACATTTTCTTTATCCATTTATTGATTGATGTGCATTTGGGCTGCTTCCATATTTTTGCAATTGCAAATTATGCTGCTATAGACATGCAGGTTTAAGTGTCTTTTTCATGTAGTGACTTCTTTTCCTCTGGGTAGATACCCAGGAGTGGGATTGCTGGATCAAATGGTAAATATACTTTTCATCATTCAAGGAATCTCCATACTGTTTTCCATAGTGTTTGTACTAGTATTCCCACCAACAGCATAAAAGTATTGCCTTTTCACCACCTCCTTGTGAACATCTATTATTTTCTGATTTTTTGATTATGGCCATTCTTGCAGGAGTAAGGTGATACCACATTGTGGGTTTGATTTTCATTTCCCTGATCATTAGTGATGTTGAGCACTTTTTCATATGTCTCTTGACCCTTGGTATATCTTCTTTCAAGAATTGTCTATGCATGTTCTTAGCCCAATTTTTGGATGACATTGTTTTTTTCCTTGCTGATTTGTTTGAGTTCCTCATAGATTCTGGATATTAGTCCTTCAACAAAAGTATAGATTGCGAAGAATTTTTTCCTACTCTATGGGTTTTCTGTTTATTCTGCTGTTCTTGTGCTGTGCAGAAGCTTTTTAATTTAATTAAGTACCATCTATTTATCTTTTTTTTTTTTTTTTTNTTGGCATTTGCTTTTGGGTTCTTGGTTATGAAGTCTTTGGCTAAGCCACTGTCTAGAAGGATTTTTCCAATGTTATCTTCTAGAATTTTTATGGTTTCAAGTCTTAGATTTAAGTCTTTGATCCATCTTGAATTGATTTTTGTATAAGGTGAGAGATGAGGATCCATTTTAATTCTCCTACATGTGGCTTGCCAATTATCCCATCACCATTTGTTGAATAACGTGACCTTTCCCCACGTGATGTTTTTGTTTGCTTTGTCAAAGATCAGTTGGCTGTAAGTATTTGGATTTATTTCTGAGTTCTCTGTTGTGTTCCATTGGTCTATATGCCCATTTTTTATACTAGTACCATGGCGTTTTGTTGACTGGCCTTATAGTATAGTTTGAAATTGGATAATGTGATGCCTCCAGATTTGTTCTTTTTTCTTAGCCTTGCTTTGGCTATGCGGGCTCTTTTTTGGTTCCATATGAATTTTAGGATTATTTTTTCTAGTTCTGTGAAGAATGATCGTGGTATTTTCATGGAAATTTATAGAATGATTTTGGCAGTATGGTCATTTTTACAATATTGATTCTACCCCTCCATGAGCATGAGAGCTATTTCCATTTGTTTGTATCATCTATGATTTCTTTCAGCAGTGTTTCATAGTTTTCCTTATAAAGGTCTTTCACTCTTTGCTTAGGCGTATTTCTATGTATTTCATTGTATTTTGCAGCTATTATAAAAGGCATTACATTCTTGACTTGATTCTCAGCTTGGTCACTGCTGGTGTATAGCAGAGCTATATTAATATGTGTACATTAATTTTGTATCCTGCTGAATTTTGCTGAATTCATTAACCAGTTCCAGGAGCTTTTTAGATGATTTTTAGGGTTGCCTTGGTATACTATCATATCATTCGTGAACAGCAACAGTTTGATTCCCTCTTTACTGATTCAGATTCACCTAATTTCTTTCTCTTGTCTGATTGCTCTGTCTAGAACTTCCAATACTGTATTATGTTGAATAGAAGTGGTGAAAGCAGGCATCCTTGTTTTGTTTCAGTTCTCAGGCGAAATGCTTTCAACTTTTCCCTATTCAGTATAATGTTGGCTGTGGGTTTGTCATAGATGGCTTTCATTACCTTAAGGTACGTCCCTGCTATGCTAATTTTGCTGAGGGTTTTAATCGTAGAAGGATGCTTGATTTTGTCAACTGCTTTTTCTGCATCTATTGAGATAATCATGTGATTTTATTTTTAATTTTCTTTATGTATTGCCTTTATTGACTTGTGGGTGTTAAATCATCCCTGAATTCTTGGTATGAAACCCACTTGATCATAGTGGATTATCTTTTTGATA